ATACCATTCCAAGTTGTACAAAATCCCTATACGCGACCATGTGAATACTCCATATCGAGGATCAAAAACAAATATAACGATAAATCCCCAAAATTTAAGATTTTCACCATTCGGAATTTTATAGTTGTGCTTCACAATATCATGCGTACACACGAATATTTTAATCGAAGGCATAGTAAATGGAGTATTATAGGATTTCTAAACGAAAGTGATGAAGAATCGTTCCAACTGAAGATCGGTGTCTATTTAAAAAATCTCGAGAACATTATTAACCATGAACAAGGGGCGAGGCGTGACAAAGCACAGCTTCTCTATGATAATTATAAAAAGGCAAGTAAAAGCTTTTTTATTGGAAATGTAGGTTGGGAGTAAGTGGCGTGCAGGAATCTTTAAGTTTCTCTGTCATTCAAGTCTTAAAGTCGAGCCACAAAACCAGTGTTGGGACACAGGTGATCTTTAAGTTTGCCTGACGTTTCAAGTCTTTAAGTCGAGCCAGCACAGGTGATCTTTAAGTTTGCATGATGCTTAAGTCCTTAAGTCGAGCCAACACTGGACCTATTAGGGCACAGGCAATCTTTAAGTTTGGCTGATGCTCGGATAGGATGGGAAACCAAATGTGAGATTTGATTATTAGTCAAGAATATTATTAAGCCTTCAAATATTTCGTGCTAGGGTACCCAACCCGATTATAAAATGGCAAGGCAATGGGAAATGACGCATAAGCCTGGGCTTTCGGTTCGCCTTAACCATCCTAAAGTGACAATCAGTGGCAATTCTATAGTTGATTCAATAGTTGGAGCTTTCAATGCAAGGATAGATTCAACAAAAAGAAGTCAAGAGCATCAAAAAGAGGTACCGATGTGCATTTTAGTTAGAATCAATTGTTTTATGATTTGTTCCGAATGAATTACAAATTTAATTATTAAAATGATCAGACTAAGCGAAACCAAAAACGGTCAAAAGTCACAATAGCGGATGACAATGTCGATGAGATCGAAACACTGGATAATCATAATAACAAGATCGAAACAACAGATAACCATGCAGATGGGATCGAAATAGTAGATGACCATGAAGATATGTTAGAAGACGATGAAAGCCTTGAATTTGATTTCGATTCAGTTGTTAAGAGTTTGCAACAAGAACCAATAAATGAAGTATTTGATTAATTTTTGATTATTATTGTTTTGCAATTGTTTTGCCACATTTTTTACTATTGTTTTTGTGAATCAGTGGAAAGTGCATGGTATTAATGTTACACGAAAATTCCGTGAATATCAGCAAGAGGTTCTCGAAACACTTAAGACAACTGGATTAACCTGGTATAATACATACGAAACCTTGTAAGCAACAGCACCTACGATAATCGCGATCGATAGATGAATCAAATATCAAGTTCACTTCCTTTTCGCCTTGTAAGCGTGCTCACATGTAAATATCATTTCACATTGCACTTTAGAGCACTCTCATCCATAATTGTGCTCGGCCGAAACTGTCCTTATCCAAATTTTACTGAAGAAGAGTGGCAGTCGATAACTCAAACAAACAAATATACAATCCATGAGCCAGTGATACCGTCTTCGGTATCAACTGCCTTACATGAAACCGTGATCAAGCATTTGTTAGGTCGGGACAGTTATATGCATGCAGACGAAACTCCATTGAGCAGAGCAGTCGCACGAACCTTCAATGAGTTGTAGGTTAATATATATTTTTTGTTTTGATTGACTTGCTTAATGAAATTTATTAACACACATTTAGGCGAGAGAATTTACCTGATCTTGCATCGCAAAGGACTTCCGAGGATGAACATTGCCGTATATTTCTGAATCCTTACATAAGTTCGATTTTTCTGAAGAAAAACAATAATTACGAAGTGCAGTTAAATCGCGCCGTCAAGGGCACAAAACAAAGACCTGACCTTTCATGCGTCGTGGATAATGTACCTTTATTAAATTCTGAAATTAAGCCAATGGGGAGCCGTCCTTTAAACAAGAAAAAGGATTTTTCAAAAGTTCATTTACGGGGAAGAAAGACAATCAATCAGCAATTGACCTCGAAAGGTGGCCCAGGAGAAACAGCAATGCTCCTCAATCATGGTTTGTTTTTTTATACGGAACAGTCAAATTGTTATCTTTATTTACTAAATCATTTGTCGGAAATTACAGGTGATATTGTACAAACGTATTTTATGGACCTCCAATTTGATGGGCTATATCGGTCTTGGCCTTTTCTCACAACAAAATTGGCAATTGATGAACCCAGTTTGCCTTTGATCGAATCAAACTTTGCTCATTTTGTGGCCTTAGAGGTATGTCATGTTTTGTTTATATATTTTTATTTAAATTTTATAATAAATATTTGAATTCACAGAGACGTGTATGTGAACTTGCGAAAGATTATAAACGTCGAAGGGGTCCATTCACACCGCCTCTACAAATTCGATATATGCGTAGTGTCCCAGACTCTCCGCAGATCCGTAACATGCTAGGTTCCTATAAACAATGATCAAACTTTAATTTTGATATGGATTGTTCCAAAAAATGAAATTTCTTGTTCCTTACGTGATACCGTGTCATATATGTGATTTAATAGTTAAGCATAATAAAGTTTTATATTTCTTTGGCAGAGCCGGCAAAGCCGAAACTTGACAAGTCATTTGTATATTTTATGTTTATATCAAAGGAGCCGTTTCAGGCTAAAAAATAAATTTGCATTTGCCATATATATCTAATTTTTTCGCACGATAGATAAATACAGAAATATAAGTAATAAGATTTGTCTGCATGAAGTGTATTACGACATGGCCGAAACGGTGATCCTCTTGTCAGATATAAACAAATTACATATTTACATCCTTCAGGCAACCATTAATAGTCGAAGTGAATTTTATGCCCATTTTCGTCTATAAATGTTCTAACGGCAAGAGGATACATTCTAAGTTTCTTGTCCATATACCTTCCTCCATGCTCTTTTCTTTAATTCCAAATCCACCAAAGTGTGGTACACGGGTCACTCGATCATTGACCTCCACGTGGATAACCACCCAACGAACGCTCATTTTTATTTTACTCGTAGATATATATTTTTTTAATAATTATAGTAAATGCATACAAACTATTCTATCTGATTTATCAAATGCGCAAAGTTTTATAACACATTTGCTCTGTATTTTTTCCTGTACATTATTTTTATTTTATATATCAATAAAGCTGGCCCTGGTGGCTCAATTTTACATAAATAATCAGTTTACTTTGCATGTATATTTCGCGAATTTATTTTATTGCATTGATATCTGTCTTTTAACTCACATATGATCGAGAATTTTTC